GGGGAGGTTACAAGGGTATTCTAGTGATTTTTGGTTGGAACACAAGCGACCGGAAGTTCTTCAGTGGTCCCTTGTCCCAGGGGTTGGTGTTATCGTCGTAGTAGCCTTTGATTTGTTCGTATGTGGTTTGGTTAGTGCTGATGAGATAGGCATGGTAGCCTGTAAGTCCTACGACGAACCATAGGAAGCCTAGGGAGTAGATGGTGAGGATTGCGGCGTCCCAAGCATGTTCGAATGCTGCTTTGATTGCGTTGGAGAGTGAGTCTGTATGGTAGTCCTGAACGAGTACGAAGAACTTGACGGGTGATGCGACCAGAACGAGTATGAGATATAGGCTTGTAGAGTAGATGAAGTATATAAAAGACCGGTAATTTCGTGCTCCTACACAATTACCAACCCAAGGACAGTGGTGGTCGAATTTCAGGACGCAATTGTCACAGATCGAACAATGTACACAGCGCGGAGGTCTATACATTCGACAAGTTGCGCAATACTTCAACTTAAACAAATGACCCTGCACCGCCACATCCTGATGTTTCGGTGGGTTGACCGGTGTTAACATAGTCAGAACACTCACTACCTCTGCAGGCAAACTCACACCTGGTCGAGGTAGGATACCCGGATCACTCAATGCCGTCCTCAGAAACATTAACAATGATAACACCTGCATCGGTACAGCAAACACACACATCACCCAACCGCCAGTCATGTTCCTAACTATCCACTAAAAGTTAATCGCCGTGTCCCTCACCCCAGGCGATGGATGGTCCATCGGGCCGCCGGATGGTCCATCGGGCCGCCGGATGGTCCATCGGGCCGCCGGATGGTCCATCGGGCCGCCGGATGGTCCATCGGGCCGCCGGATGGTCCATCGGGCCGCCGGATGGTCCATCGGGCCGCCGGATGGTCCATCGGGCCGAGGTCGCAACCATAACAGAGAGGGAGTGGTCAAGTGGTCAAGTGCTCAGGTGGTCAAGTGGTCAGCTGTTTACTGGCAGGGTCATGGCGTCGAATAATATAGTCGGTACTGTGATCATCAGTACGGCGCCAGTGGCTAGTTTGAGGTCGGGACCAAGAATACAGTTGGGCCCAAGGACCTTGGACTTGCCGATCATCATTTATGGGTTAAAAAATTGCTCAGGCGGCACGGTGCGTGCATCCTCGGGTATGCGGTGCAGTGCTGGAATGCGAGGGACCAGCGGCCGACTTAGCTCCGCTCCATCCGGACAAGTGGAGATCCATATTTCCTGCGTCGGCGTTCGGATCAGTATGTCTGTCAAGGGACTCTGGCGACCACCCAAGTCCACATAGTACCCTTCGTCCGGGCGCAATTGATAGCCTCGAGACGGCATTCCACGGCGGTTCCGACGTGGACCACCTCTCAACGGAGCCGCACCCGCCAGAGGCGACCCAAAGGGAACGGTCTCCGCCAAAGGTGACCCAGCCAAAGGAGCTCCTCCCAGCGGTGACTTAGCCAATGGCGACCCCGCAGAGGGAGACGCACTCCTGTTCATAGCAGAGGCAGCGGGGCCGTTGTCGACTATTATCTGATCACGCATCGGCGTCATTGGACTGCGGGCAGCTCCAGGTCCCGCCAGCTGCATCATTTCGTTGAAACTCATTCTGCGTGTTATCGCACATTTTTCCTGCCGGCTTCCGCGCCGGCTGCCGCTGAGATAATGCACTACTCTTGCGGGTATACGGAGCTGTGTCGGGAAAGATGGTGTGTGTGATGTCGTGAATGCGCCACGACAGGGGTGAAGTCGTACTCCGGGCGCCCGTAGATGTGGGCCATGACCTTCTGGGTCCAGTTAAGATTGTTTTTTTCATAGACACCTTCCTTCTCCGGGTCCTTCTCCCGGTCTGGGTTGGGTCCTGTGGCGCTGACCGCGTTGGGATTTATGGACCGGTAGCGGGGGCGCAGGATGCGTGCGAGTTCCGCATCCGAAATGAGCAGCGGGTCGCCCCGGTCGGGCGGGGCCAAGTGGCGCCGCAAGGTTTCACGGATGGCGTCCGCTGGTGTGGGGAAGAGCCCGTCGTCGAGACCCTCCGCGGCTGCGGCGTCGAGAGCGCGGCAAGGTGGCGGCGGCGGTGTCTTCAATTCATGCGGCAACCGGTGGGTGTGCGACACATGTACTGCGCATACGGAATTCAGAGCCGGACAGGGGTGCTCAGTGAGCGCTAGCCCATACGAAAATCTCAACCGGCCTGCTACCCGTGGACTGGACTTCTCCCGCGCTCCGGACCCCGAACCCCCGCGTTCGAATCCACTCCCCGGACGGGTCAGGTCGTAGAGGGTGACGGGGTCCCAACCGGGGAGACTTTGCAAGCTGTCGAAAGGATACTGCTCGGACTCACCCACCGCAACCGGAACAGTCAAGCCCACTGGGTTCCGGGCGTAGATTTTAAACTCGAGGGAAAAAAACGGCAGAATCGTCGGCTCGTGAAAAGTCTGCAATCGCCGGATCCGGTTGCCGATGCGATTTCTTAGTTCCGTTGGGGTCTGAGCCGTTGGACTCTGGGAAGGCTTATAACGGGAGGAAGAGTCTTCGCGGGACAAGAGCGGGTCTTTTATTGAGGAGGGATCGTCCAGAGCGAGGGAATGATCCAGCAATATGTCGCCTTCCAGTGGGGCTTGCCTGCTCCGGAAAAGCTTAGCCGGGATGTAGAGTCCGACGGGGGCGGGGCAGGCGAAGGTGGCGCCGGTGGCGCCCGGGATGGCGGTCCCGCAGGCTCGCTCCCGAGTCTGCCCCAACCAACGAGTACGGTCGTGGTAGACGTGGACGCTGGCCGTGACATAGATTGCCGGTTGCGCCTCCAACAGTCGGATGTAGAATGGCTGTGCGACTACATACTCAACGCCATAGTTGCCCGGACAGCAGGAGCACTCCATTACAACACAGGGCGTGGTGTAGAACACAGGACGTGGTGCACAACACGGGAGGATGGCGCAAGACGTGAAAAGTAAGGATGACAGGTTCACGAACCAGCCGCGTATACGAACCGACCGCGTACAAAGTAGTTGTCTGATAAAATTACATGCCGCAAGCACTGTTGGGTGTAAGCGCGGTTTCTGCAAAGGGTGCAAAAGGTGCAGAATGAGATTCTTGGTTATTCTTGCGACGGCGTTGGCTGCCTACGAAGACGCCATTGCTGCCCTTGCCGCTATACCAGAACCTACCCACAGATCGTGGGAGGTTAACGCTGTGAACCCGTACGCAGACCACGCGTACTTTAGACGTCGAGCGAGTGCCTATCAACCCGAAGAAGACACCATCCTTTCTGAGGATTAAAATTCCAAATTGATTATTACTGATGAAGATTAACCTTTGAGAGAAGGTTTAGTACTTGCTCAGAATTAGAACACGGTTTTTTTGTTAACTTTCATAAATTTAGTTTTTCGAAACATCCTATTTACGGGGGTTGGACGAGTCGTCGACCACAATGCTTTTCTAGCACAAGGTATCATGCCCAAATATCCCCCACGGTGTATCCTTTACGGTGTATCTTTTACGGTGTATCTTTTACGGTGCTTATCGTTAAGATGGTGCGTATGGTGCACTCCTTGCTGTGCACGTATCTTGGCGTGGTGCAAAAGGTGCAGAATGAGATTCTTGGTTATTCTTGCGACGGTGTTTGCTGCTTACGAAGATACCATTTCAAGTCTTAAGCCAATCCCGGAGCGTGTCCAGAACTCGTGGGAGGTGAACGCAGTGAACCCGTACGGAGGACACGCGTTCTTCAGACGCCAAGCACAAGTCAACGCGCACCAGCCTACAGAGGAGACCGTCATTTCCGAGGAATGAGCAGACACGAGGAATGAGCAGACACGGTCCAGAACACAGTTTTTCCAATAACCTTCCAACCACAATTTAGTCTTGTCGATTTCTATGAACAGCAAATGTGCCCTGTAGAATTAACAGACCAGTTAGTCTGAAAATAAGAACGGTTACGGGCGGTTGTAATCCGGGCGGCTGTAGTCCGGGAGGTTGTAATCCGGGAGGTTGTAATCCGGGAGGTTGTAATCCGGGAGGTTGAAGTCCGGGCGGCTGTAATCCGGGAGGTTGTAATCCGGGCCGTCTTGGTCGTAGCAGTTGTCGGCGTCCATAAGGGGGATGCACCCGTGGTGGCAGCCTTGGGGATCATATTCGTCTTGTCCGTTAACACGTGTGGCGATTGGTAGGAATTGTTCGAGGTCGAAGTCAACAAGGTCTTGAGGTCCGTCCCAGACCATTTGATGTGCATCGCATTGGACCATCTCGCGGAGTTTTTCTTGCCAATGAACTCGTTGCTTTCCAGTGAAGCGATTGCGATTGCAATGAGGGCAATAAAACATCTGACGGTTATAAAACTCAGGCCAGAAACGTTCTAGAAATTGTTCACGATAGTCAATGTCCGCATCAGTCGTCCCATTAAATAACGATTCCCAAACCGTCTTCTGACCACCCCAATACAACTGGTGTTCCGGATTGTTGCAATTGGTTTGTAACTCCCCCGTCTTCGGGCTGTAAAACACCTCACGCCACGCCTGACCCGCGCAATTCCTTACGCCATATTGACAACGCTCTCGTGCCCTACAATGTAACATGCACTTCAACTTCTGACCATAACTGTTATCCACACGCAAGTGACCTGCCACCTGAGTAGACGCTCCGGAAGGAGTGGCTTCGGAAGGAGTGGCTCCGGAAGGAGTGGCTCCGGAAGGAGTGGCTCCGGAAGAAGTCGCTCCGGACTGTGTTGACTCCACTTGAGAGACGCCCGGCGGAGACGGTGGAGGGACCAAGTAGTCGTCCAGCAGCCGGTTGATCGAGTCGATAGGACCGATCCCAGTTGTGCCGGTGGGAGCGTTCGATCCCTGCGGGCCATCCTTGACATACTCCACCGTCTCATCCCGCCGGACTGTCACCGGGTCTTGGTTCTGCCCGGGGGTTGACGAGCGGCTACCACCGAGGGTTTCCGGGTCGACGAGTACTTGATCAAGGAAGCGGTTGATCTTGTCCACGAGTCTGTTCCCGGTAAGATAAGTCGGTGGTGGCATTTGAGCGAGGGGGTTAGGAATTGGTGGTCGTACATATTGGATGGGCCGTCGACTGTGTTTGGGAATATTTTTGGCCGGTGCCCAGGTACCGCAGTAGTCGATGAAGCGACCAGCGAGACTGGTTCCGGCTTCCGTGAGTTCGTCTAGGAGTCCTGCTAGGCCCCCAGCAGGGCTGAGAGAGACGTGTTTTTTCCGAGGGTTTTCGATGATAGGGGGTTTGTTTCCACGTAGTAAATTCAGTAACGGATGAACGGGCACGGGTTCGGGTGGCGGTTCGAGAGATGGTTGTAATGCATGACAGACATTGGCCATGCAATTAGCCGTCTGCCGGACGGCGGCATCACACAGATCTGATGCACACGATTTCACACATGTTCCAACACACGCACGAGCACACGCCGGGTTACACAAAATACCACGAGGCATATCTAACAGACATCGCACTTCCGCCTCATGATGCCTCACCGGGTAAGGGTTCACTAACCGCTTCACCTTAAGTACTGGAACCGGCGGCTGTCCATCCGGCTTTGTCTTTCCAGCGCCCCCGCCGCCGCCGCAAATATCGCCCACTCCCCTCAACGGCTCAATCTCCTCCAACGGGTGGTCATACCCTCCCCCAGCACAATAGTCCGTGTTAATCCGAGCGATACACCCTTTTCGACCACCATCCAAACATTCCACATCCATCATTCTACAAAATGTGCCGCCCCTCTAGAACTTGTGGGGGCACATGCCAACATCCCCCCGGACTACTGTAGTCCCCTCCCCCCGGACTACTGTAGTCCCCTCCCCCCAAACTACTGTAGTCCCCGGACGTAAGCCGTAACCAGTCGCATGATTCAGACGCTTTATTTATATTTAGTCTGTGAACATTTAATCGACATCATCAACAAAAAAATCTGTACATCCAATGAAGCATTCATTTACCGACTTTATTTACCGAGATGGTCTGGTATACTGATGTCTAGCTCGACGTCGACATACTCATTCGCTTCGGCAAAGCAGCGAATTGTGCCCCTAAAGTCTGTTATTTGAGGACTGAGTGGCAACTGTGCCATATAGGTGATAAGAGGATGAACAACTTGTACTCTAAAAAAAATAGATGAAGGAACATACATATCATCTTACATCATTAAAGCATGGCCCAATGTATCATATGTAAGACACGTTTTGATCTGTTTAGGTAGATAGACTTTATGTGGTCCCAATAAAACTTCGACTTCATATTTCTTAAGATTCGCCAGTAGATCAATAAAAGTTATGTAGATGACTTGATTTAAAACACTCGGATGTAAAGATGAGATGGATGGCTTGATTGTATTCAACATGCCATCAGTCTTATCAAATAGATAAACCAACTCTAATGTCGCCCACTTCTCACCAGTCGGTAAATACAAATCATGTCGCCGTTCTAAATAATTTTCTTGGCATAGAAGTAACTCATCTGTGATAACATCAGTTTCCGCTATGAATCTTTCTCCGTCACCCAATACTTTGAAACTGAAAACAAGCCATCATTCGTACGTACTTTGTCCAAATATACTTTGTCCAAATGTACTTGCTATCGCCAATTGCTTACTTAATACTGGGCCTGGTTTGGATTAAATTGAGCATTATGTTTTGTCCAATATTACAGCAGGCATATTTCTTCCTGTTAGCAGTATCCTTAATGTAGATCTCTGCTGACTCCGTAGTAAATAAATTATCGATTTGTACCACCAAATTTCGATACTTATATACCCGTTTCATACCTCTTATAGAACATACAAATATCGTAAGGGTCTTGAAGCTATGTCGTACATGACAATATTTTTCCAGCTTTAATGATGGTACTAAACACAAACACAAACGTAACTAATTTAACTAAGTCCTAATTTAACTAAATCCTAGTACTTTAACTTACTTAGTCTGGTTGGACCGAGGTTGGTAAACAATGCGAAATACTCCATACAGATTCTGAGCTTGACATGGTTGTCCAATCTAACTTCGATGGACTCGCACTGTTCTGTTATGAAAGTGAATTTGCCGAGTACATGTAAGTAGTCATCAATTACGTAACCCGTAACAAGTTGTGCACGCTTGACTGGAAGGTGTAGTATCTCTGAAGAGAGGAGTTTGTCCTTCCATTGGGTACACCTAAGAAGATAGGGTGGACCATCATGCATGATATACACGTTATAGGAACAGCCATCGATTTCTGTCTTGGGAATCGGATCCGTTAAGTGAGTGACACTAATGGCCATTTCATCATCGTAGCTGCTGCCCGAATTCGGTGGACCCCCCAGGACTGCGCCTCCGGTCATCCCGCCTCCGGTCATCCCGCCTCCGGTCATCCCGCCTCCGGTCATCCCGCCTCCGGTCATCCCGCCTCCGGTCATCCCGCCTCCGGTCATCCCGCCTCCGGTCATCGCTTGCAGAAAGGACAACATCTTGTCCAGCCTTGGCCGGAAATCCATTTCCAACAACGCCTTGATCTCGTCGAGCTTAGTATCTTCGCTCATGCTACTCCATAACCCGAAACGCGGCGGGTCGAAACGTGAACCCACGTGACTATGCGGAAAGAAGGATGAGAACGCGTCGCTTGCATCCATCTCATTCCCACTGAAATCAGTCACCGTGTCCGTCCAATACGGCCCGCCCACCTGACTAGGCGCAGCCAGCGGGGCCGGCGGCGGCAATACCAACCCCCCACTACCTCGAGGGGAAAGGTTTCCGCTCCCCTGTGGTGAGAACCCAGTCGTGGGAATCGAACCCAGGGTCGTCGGCACTGAACCCGGAGCGCCACTACTGCGGTTCGCTCCAATAATCGCCGGAACCGGATATGTCGCGGCACCCAAGGCCGCCGGTCGGATCGGGCCCAGGCTATAAGGGGGCGACGGCGCAGCCCCCAAGCTCTGCTGCAGAGAGGCCACCGTCGTAATGGCCGGGATCGAAATTGCCGGAGCGGTGTTGAACGCCGCTCCCCCAAGCTGCGACCCTGGCAACGACCCACGGCCGCCAAAAGACCCGCGTCCACCAAACGACCCGCGACCCGACGCGCCCGCGACGGCGACAGCACCGGGAATCGAACCGGGGTAACCGGGAGACGAACTCTGCGGCTTCCGATACGCCATCGGCTGGCCCTCAAACCGAGATGTCTCAAACCGAGATGTCTCAAACCGAGGTGGCCCCTCAAACCGAGATCCATCGAGCCGTTGCCCTTCGAACCGTGGTCCCTCAAAGCGTGGCCCCAGCCCCACAGCCGTTGACAACCCGGCTGCTGCAGCCTGCTGCAATTCCTTAGAGGCGTGATTGCGGAGTTCGCAATTCTCGCGGATCATGTCGCCCGCCATCTTACTCGCAGGCGGAGTGCCTAATTTGAGCGGCACAATGGCGTCTTCGAACGGGCCCGCCTCGCCCTCCGCGGACCCCGAAGACGTCGAGGAAGATGTGGAAGACGTTGAGGCGTCCGACGGCGGCACTACAAAGAGACGCGCTACATGGCTTAAACACACACGTGTGTGCGATAGGGCAAGGAGGGGAGCAGACTAGGGGGGAGCAGACTAGGGGGTGGTATATTCCTACAGCTTTCGTTGGTAATACTTCGCGTAGGTGTGAACGGCCGACTCATTTTTAAATCGGCAACGACACTGATCGAAGGCGCAACTAGCGTCCAAGCCTGGCGGCCAACTAGATCCCGATGTCGACGAAAAACGGCGCTTGTAGAACAAGAAAGGAGCGCTAATGATGAAAACTAATATTTACCCGGATTGCTCTCTAGACCGCTTGTTCTCCTCCACACCATTCGATCCTACACAAACGAATTACTTAAGTGTGGCACAGATAGTGTATGATAGTGTTGAGAAATTAATCCGAGAGTTGTAGCTGATAGTAGAGGTCCGAAAAAGAGAACTCACCCGAACAGATAGTAGGAACTCATCCGAACAGGAGGAGATGTGGCAATTTAGGTTGAGTATAAGGGACCTGGAGTGGGCCAGACGGGCCACCCTCGTTCGTACCGGTCATCCGAGGACCAGTACGCCGGGTAGCGTGTTTGGACCCCTGTCGGGATCGGAGGGGATAAATAACGATGCCGTCAGGTTCACCCGTCAGGTTGAAGTGACAACACTATCGGTACCCAGACGGCGCAGGACCGGTGATAAAAAATCTGTAGTAAGAAAGCTACGTAGAGGCAGAGCCCCGTGAAGCAGGGACTACTTCTGGAATAAGTACGAGTTACACTGTGGGGGCGAGTATGAGATCAACGTTTTTTGGTGACATGGCTCGCAAGGGGGCGAGTTCATAAGTTCGGGGCCAAGTTCAAGGGCAAGCTCAGTGTTGTCCTTTTGCGGAGTTGCGCACAAAAGGAGGGATGATGACCCGTTGTGCATTGGCCTCGTCCTGCTTCGCCACACCCGATTGCCCCGGGACTAGAAACGAGGTCCCGCACACACTTTGTGCTCGGAAATGCAAGGGACTATGGATTCGGGTCCGTGGGCTTTGCCTATCGCGCTAGCTGCTTGCGCTCTGTTATAAAACCTTCTACCGACACCCGGAGCTGACCAGCCAGCCATCGCATCGCGTCACGGAGCTTTACCCTTTTATCGACTCGCACTAGGTGGCGTGTGCAGTCTGTGCGCACGGTGAAGTAATGGAGCGCCCGTAGGATGCGAACTCCCGTGAAACCCTATCAATGCCTAACTCCTGATGCCGCTGTTCGATAGTGAGTGGTAGTGACGGAACGCCTTCTCTTGGACGGCCGACCAGGCGAACAATTTCCCACAGATCGTACCTCACGGCTCTCAAGCAGCTGGCACGTGCCTCACGGCTCCAAAGAAGTCGGCAGGCTCAAGTCCGCTCGGTCAGTCCTAACCCGTTCCAACCACGCCCAGCTAGCTCAAGAGGATACTGCGTAATTTATCGTCCTCGTCTATCCCCCAAAACTTATACCTCGCTCGGGGTCGATGGATGGGACACTCTCCTGACTTACGAGCACAATGGGAGTCCTCCATACGGCATTGTTCACTCCAGCACAGGGAATCTGTAACACGACATTAAAGACCAACTAGCAAGCTGTCATGCAGGGTTGACGGTGAGTGAGATGTTGGCCGTCAAGTTGGCCGTTCATTCAGAGTAAGGTGCACGGCACATACTTACTCGGTGATACTCACGCGGTGGACACTGGACACAAACGATGCTCCTCATCTTGATGGGATCCGTTGCAGCCGCGCTTCGGACGACGGCATTGACGAAGACGGCGGTGACGGTGATGACGAACAAACCGGTTAGTCAACTGGTTTGTTCGTCATCACCGTCACCGCCGTCTTCGTCAATGAATTCGGCCAAGTTGAAGTCGATAATCTTGACTTCGTCAGTCTGGGTGACGATGACATTCTCAGGTCTAAGATCGTTATGGATCACTCCATATCGCTCTAGGCATGCGTAAGCTTCCTTGATCTTTTCCAGTGACGGTAATGATCATATCCTGTTTCCCCTTCCGGGAGCTCTATCAGGAGGTAAGGCCCTACACGATGATGGTCATAGTACATGTCATACTGATACAGCTTCGGTACATGTCTACATTCCTACAGTCTGCAGTACGCTCTTACTTCTTTAAACAAGTGACCACATCCGGTTAGCTTCAGCACGGCCTTTTTCGTCTCTGTCTCGTCCTTCCAGGTAACGATGTACACGTCCGCAAGATAGTCACCCTCTCGATCGCCTCGTACATTCACCATATCTTCAAAGTCGTCCGTTGATACATCTGTGAAGTCGTCAAGACCATTCCCGAACTCCGCAAGCTTATTCGCCATTGCAATTTTAGCAGCGCCGTCCTTCGCATTGCGCCAGACGGATCTCCTTCAGCAGCCTACGGGTCTCAATCCGCTGATCGATGTCCTCTGAGAACTTGCCGAGCTTCCACGGGAATCAGATGGTCGTAATTCTTGAGCGCGCAATACCTCACGAATTCGTTCGTTAACATGTAAATGAGGTTCGGAATAATCTCCTTGCCGCCATTTTCTTCGTTAATAAGCACGGCGAGGCTGTCCAACTTGGTCTCGTACACGAAGTCCCTCTTCCAAGGATGCAGAGTCCTCTACCCCAATTCTACCAATAATCAAAGCAGCACCATCGTAGGTACCAATGAGGGAAGCACCACGATCCATCCCATACCTTTGCACCTGACATCGTTGCTAACGCGATTCAGATGTGCTTCTACATTGCCCCCCAAACCACTAATCAAACCATTCACCACCTGCGTGTAGATGTCTCCCAGTCTGCCGCGAAGATGTTGGTCAGGACATTCCTCACGCATGCCGTGCAACAATCCGAGGCTCGCCCCAATCCGAGGACTTGCCCCAATCCGAGGACTTGCCCCAATCCGAGGACTTGCCCCAATCCGAGGACTTGCCCCAATCCGAGGACTTGCCCCAATCCGAGGACTTGCCCCAATCCGAGGACTTGCCCCAATCCGAGGACTTGCCCCAATCCGAGGACTTGCCCCAATCCGAGGACTTGCCCCAATCCGAGGACTTGCACTCCAAGATCAGCAACAGCAGCTCCTCCTTCTCACCATTTGGGTCTTCGAATTCCGCGGTCACACACAAATCATACCAACCTCTCCGACCGCCTTCCTGTACTACTTCGAACCTCACAAGAGCAACTTGAAAAAAATCTCTCCGAATACTTGGCGGCAATTCCAAGCATCCCTTCCAAGGCTATCTGCATCTCGGCCTCCTTCCGTCCCCCGATCCATTGCCATGTGACAAATCGCTGCGGCCCTTTTTCCTTGATCTGTCTTAGTCGGTAGTGGTGACTGGTGGCACAGCGTTCTTCGGTGAGAGCGCCGTCCAACTCCCTAGTTGCCGCGTCCGCGTCCACGGCCTCTGCCGCGACCACGTCCGCGTGTGGGAGCTGGTCCTATCCTTGCTGTTGCGCCGTTTTGGAATAAGGCCATGCCTCGTGCAATGCCTGATCTAGCCACTAAGGCGTAAAGGTTGGCTACTTCTTTCGTAGTTAGTATAAGGTGTTGGTTGGTCATGCACCAAGCAAGGCGATCTGTAAACTCGTCGTATGTGCCGGATTGTTTAAGAGCCTCGTAGATGTGAGATCTTAGTTGGATTCGTAGATTAATCTTCGCGGCATGGTCAGAAGTGGCGGCCGGCCTTAAATAAACCCGAAGCTTCCGTAGCGCAACCCCCTTCGAACCCCCATCAGCGCATCCTTCCCCACACACTTCATAAATCCTTCTGCGGTCAAGAAGCAGACGACTGTCATAACCGCCGTCGTCGTTCACACCTATCATGACAGCTGCCGACATCATATAAGGCGAGCAATTCGCCAGGTGGCTCCGGGAGCAGCTGTGTGTCCCTTCTACTTAGCGATTTGGTGACAAATGATGCATACAGCAGGGGGACACCTGGTGGAAAGATTTCAATGCGCTGGCGCTTGAATCATATCGTC